ATCGTTCATCGAAAAGTCAATAAATGCTTCCACGGTTTAAGTAATCTCCAGTATTTCCGCGTTTCCAGTACACCCCAGAACACCTTATCGTGGAATTTTTGCATGAACTTGAACCTTGACCAGTGTAAAAATTTTCTGTAATCGACTGCAGTATTCAGCGCATTACAGGGTGCTTGAGATGGTGACATTATTTCACGAGCCTCACAAGCTTGAATACTGATCTAACAATATCAGTATACCATTTCGCCATGGCCATTCAGGATGAGATCTATACTCCCAGAAGCATCTTCCCTGCCCAAACCTTGCGCTTGTGAACCCCTCGCGCACAACCGCAACTGTGCTTCGATGGCGCAGCAGGTAGGTAAGCGGGCTCATGTGGTGGAGCAAAGGTTTGATTCTTTGATGCATTTCGTAGTTGTGCTTTTTCTTGAAACGTATGCCAATTGGGAAGTATTATAAATCGTCGCACCAATTCGACTACCAGAGGCTCCTCTCTGCTCCTTATTGAGCCCTGCGGATGACCTTCTAGAGAAATTGCACTCTCACCTAACTCGCTCAAGCAGGAGGCAATATACACCTTTATTTCTCTTCAAGCACTTGAACCGACGGTTTTTTCACTACTTTTGATGAATACGGGTAAGTTCTACGTTCGGGTAACGTAGAACTTCGACATCAGCAGTAGTTCTCGTCAGCACTCATCAGCCAATAGCTCTTGCGATCCGATAACTGGTGAGATGTTGCGCCCGACTTCGTAACTATCACATCTAATGAAAGAGTTCGCATCCTGCGATATTGCGCAACCACTATCCCGAAAATAGAGGAACATTGCAGAAGGGAGCTTCACGCGCTGTGCGACAACCCCATGATCGACTGCGAGGAAGATAGCTTATTAGAAGATGATCCTATTGATCCTCTCTGGTCACCTAATAATGGCGATGATAGAAGTTCCCTCCCGACCGAATAGGAGCTCCAATCAATTATTCCAGGAAGCAAATTTTTAGTCTTTTCCCCCACACAGAAACAAGTCGATCAAAAACTGCACCGATTTTGGATGAATAGGGTAGTAAAGCTCGGAGGACTAGTAAAAGAGAGTGAGAGCTTCAGCGATCCACCTTTGGAGCTTCTATAAGTTCTTTCTATGTGTGAACACGTCATTTTATATCAAGATATCTTATGTGCTTGTTTAATGTTCCGCGCTAGTTACAGCAATATATGCCCCATATAGACTGCCGCATCAGCGCTATCAATTTCCATGCTTTCACTGAAGTTGGAATATTGTAATTGAGTGTAATTTTTTTTCGAAACTCATTTACAGGAATTAAAAAGGAGTAGAGACGAGCGTAGAAGAGGGGGGGGGAGTCAAACCGTATGTAAAACTCTTTCCAAACGTTAAGCATACGTTCCAAGAAAAAGCAGAACCACGAAATGCATCAAGGAATCGAATCTTAGTCCCACCCCTATCAGTCCGCTCACCTACCTGCTGCGCCATTGAACCACAGTTGCGGTTGTGTCACGAGGGGTATGAGCAGGGGGGCGCACCGCAGGTTGTTAAGCACAAAGCAAAAAAGGTCCGTAACTTCTCTTCTCGTACCGTTTAGAAGTCAGACCTTATATCAGCGTCTGAAGATGCTTGTAGGAATATACCTCCCATCCTGAATGCCATGGCGAGTTGATATCCTTCCCGCAAGCTGTACAATACTGCCCTTAGTAAGCGCAAGAAGGGTATCCTGCCATTCACAAAGATGTACAGCCAGGCACGTCATAGTTCGGAATCCCCTACTGTGTTACATTTGATCACTGACCAGGAGAGTCCGCCAACTTACCATGGAACTTTGAATGCAGACTTGGGTAGATCGATAGATTCTATAAGGTTATTTACAAATATAGATAGCAAAATTGCAATCTGCATTTCACAAGCAACTTATGAGCAGGTAGAGTTTGTAATGGTGCAGTAGGGTGGAGGCTTGGTGGTGAGCTATGAAGCATCGAAGCCTTCACCCTACTGCACCGTTTCAAACTGTACCTGCTCATAAGTTGCTTGTGAAATGCAGGTTGCAGTTTTACTATCTATATTTCTAAATAACCTCATAAACTCTATCGATCTACCCGGGTCTCCATTCAAAGTTCCATGGTAAGTTGGCGGACTTCCCTGGTAAAGGGTCGCAAGGGCAGGAATCACAGCACTAAAGAGCTGTTCTCGCGAGGCAACCAAAGCAACATCCTGACGCTGCTGAAGCCGGCACAGGCATAGAGGAGGTGGGGGATAGGATGGGGAGAGGGAAGCAGCCTCGTTTAGCGCGCAGCCTGATGATGAGAAGCACCTATCAGCCACTCACGACGTCATGAGTCTATAGGCAAGCAGAGAGCGGTGAGGTTTCTAAGCTCTAGGAACCAATATGCTCACACGGCAATGATTATGTAGAAGTTACGTCGTCCCAACACCTCTGGGTGGGAGTCAAAAGCATGGCGCGTGCAGAAGTACGCGCCTAACGAACCATTTTCTACTGCTTCGATGAGATGTGTTCCGGAATAATGAAGCTTCGGAAAGGCACCCTAACCTGTTCTGAGCTATTTATTCTGTTCTTATACACCAGTTTCAGGGTTAAAAGCTAAGAACATATTGTTATAACACAGTCAAATCAAAATTTTGCTTAAAGGCTGAGCAGCTCAAATACTTATAACAAGGCAGCAAGTAACCCCTTAGTGAAGAAAAACCAGAAAGAAATCATAGGAAAGGCTATACAGAACCCCTTGCTCAACTGTGGTTGTACGTGGTTGAGGCGGAGAGAATCGCACGAGTTCTCACTTGTTGATATCAGCTGTTTTCCCTTATCACCTCATCCTCACCACTCGACGTGAAGAGAAAGAGCAGCGAAACAACCGCACTACCAGATAACCATTAGAAATGAATGGAGGGCGGTGCCAATGATTGTAGGTTGGGCCAATGAGAAGAACGACGGTATCGTGAGCTTCCTCATTCGTTTTTGCGCCGCGAAAGTGGTGCCGTTGTCGACTCTGCGGACCTGACTACCTGCTCACGAGTAGAGAGGAAAATCTCAACTGAACGCGGACGCTGCCTTCAAGCGGAGGTAAGGTAATGGCAAGTGGCGCCACTTGCCACACACGTGGTCTGGGGTTCAGACCCCGGATCGGCTCCCACCCGAGCCAATCAAGCTATCCATCCATACCTGCAGGGAAAGCCGGTTGATACTAGACTCTTCTGAAAAGATGGAAAGATGGAAACGTCGTCTTTTACACAGCAGCCCTCCCCGCGCCTCTGCTATTTGCATAGGCAAGTTCACAAACAAGAGCCACCACGACTCTAGATAAAAATAAAATGTGTGCAGCATCCAGAAAAAAGAGTCGTAGAAGTAGAAGCTCTCATCTTCGAGCTGTTAGATGCAGCACTGTTTCTCACATTTTCGCCAACCTCGAAGTGCTGGGCTGTTCTTCTGCGAACGCGATGGCTAACTCTCATGTCTCAGTTCTACTCGCTCCATCGAAAGGAGGAAGGCACATGTGTGAGTGTTCGCTTCCTCCTTTCTTTTCTTTTTTCACAACTCTCTAGAAGCCTATGTTCTTCGCAATGCAATAGAAACTTCGAAAACGAATCCAGTATCAAAGGGGCAGAGGAGTGCCCCATCGTAGTGATCTTCAAAATCTTTTCCCGGCAACGAATCTAATCAACCAACTCTATTTTTTAGAATAGCTTCTTTAGACGTAGTTGATTCGAGTGAACAGAGTTTCCGTAAATAATTCAAAAACTGTAGGCAAAACTACTCAGAAGCGCGCGAGTTTGGGCTCGTTCCAAGTTTTTTTCCGCGACTGTATCTGTCATGTCTATCATTTATCTGGCGCCAGATTGTGAAAACTTTCGGAACCTTTACGCCAACTGTGTGCAACAAGACTTTCGGCCCTGTTGGTCCTTAAGCGCCCTGCTCTTAGGAATTCGAGCTAGATTTTCACCGACTTCTTTTCCCCGAGGGTAGCTTTGGCTGAAGGCTTGTGTCGGGGGACTACGAACCCCTGAAGACGAGTAACATACTCGCGTGGCACGGAAGCGTTTAACATTAAATGCCACACACCTAGAGCGCCTAGAGCTCGCGTCTATCTGGGAATCCAACCATATTCATCGTGAAGAAGTCCTGGGATAATTATTCGGAACAACATTGCAACAAAAGTGTATTAGTGACCTTTGGGACACTTTCCGAATAAATTACAACGGAAAGAAGTAACACTCGCAGGTCGATGATTATCAGGGTCAAAAGAGAGATCCTCTTTCAAAGCAGGGGTTACATAAGAGTGCTTCTATAGCTCAAAGACTCCACCCCTCATAAGCGATTGATTGTACATATAAGTGAGAGATCTGTGAAGTGACTTTCTGTATAAATGAAAGAGAGTAAGAACAGAGGAATATTTGGGCCAACTGACCATTTGCTCAGAGAGCTGCTCTGCTCGAAACCACAAAACATCCATCATGGATAACCACAAACAGTAGGTACTGTATCAATTGTTCTTGCGTTACCACACAGCGGCAGCTCATCCCAAAGTCCTGCCAGGCGTTGTGTTGATTTGGATAACACCACACAAGCAATAAAATCCAAGCAGGAGGCTCAAAACCAGTGGACCCCAATTCAAAAAGTTGAAGCAGTATTAAGCAAGGATAAAAGACCCATCGCAGGCAACTTTTCGATGGTTGAATACGAAAAGGCAGAATAAAAAAAACGGGGCGAAGGGAAGTCGATTCTGCAGATCCGGCCCTATTACTCATGGACCGCTCTACAACACTTTCACTCTCCGCTAGCATTTTTTGTATCGCCGCATCGAAAGTTACTCTTGACTGTATTCGAAGACGCGGAGAGCAACATCATACCTTCATGTACAGGATCATTCGTGCAGAATTGGAAAGCAGATTCGACATCAGCGGCCACAACGATGTTTGGTTATGAAAGTCCTATTATTAATGAGCGCCTGAGCCTGTCAGCCTGCACTGTTTAGAGTATGTTCGCAAAGTTGTAGGTTACCAATATAAACTCTGAGTGACTATTTCAAAATCTTTCAGAACTCATCATATAACTTAATAAAGGCAACCTTTTCCTTGACCACTTCGATCTAATAGCATGAGCCCTCCGTCAGTTCCTATGAGTAGGTTCACACCCCACAGAGCTGCACACAAAATTTCTCCGCTAAACTTCTTCTTATATTTCCTAATTTCAGGAGCGTCTGATTCCAGATGAGTTCCATTTTGAGAGCTCGGATTAACGTTGACCTGAAACACTGTCTACAGAAGAAATTCTGGCTACACTAACGACACGAAGCTCACGTCAGCATTGTGTTTTTACCACAAAAATCACACAGTTGCATCAGCCTCACTTAAGTACACTACTTTACCTCAACCTGACTCGCATCCTTCGCTCTACCAGGGCGATTCACAGTCCCTTTGCTCGGACCTCCAGTTCCAAAGAAACCGACGAACGATTTTTCACGATCTCTCGAAAACAGCGGCTGTTGGTGAAGAGAGATCTTTGAACCATTCGAACAGGAACTAGTTGTTCCAGACAACTCAAAACCAAATAGTTATTAACAAGTAGAAATATCAACACATGTGAACGTTCGCGAAAAATGTATAATGATCCCGAATGAGGCAAGACATAAGCACTATACATTCGAGCTTCAAGACAGGCTACACTGTGTGAAATAGGAGATAGCAGGGCACAGCATTCGATGGGGATTTTGGTCGAGCTTTTACGACCCCCCCCCGTTTTTTCAGGGGCTGGTACGACCCCCCATGAAAGGTTGTCGAGGAGGGAGGGGGGGGGGGTGTATGTAGTAGGCACGCGACGTACATCGTACGGACGTACATAGTACCTATAACACAGAAAATTCATAAAACTCATGAAGTGAACCACGTAGCTACTAGCATAGACCTCCCCAACAACGACCAAATACAACCCTCCAAAACGTCCGCAAAGCGAGAAAAATCAACTATAATTTTTCCCAACCCAACGACCCCTTCTTTTTGGCGGCCAAATACGACGCCCCCCACTAGGGAATCCCCATCGAACGCTGTGCCCTGGGAGATAGTCGCCCCCCCCCTAGCTCACTAGTTTACAATGGCCACATGTTGATATCAAAAGAGAGCTGCATCAAGGCTTCTCATTTGACACAGTCCCCGCGCTCGAGCAATCAGGCGTCTTTCATTGTTCAAGTCGTCTGGTACTCACTCCCGAAGGTAATCCCACTTTCGCAGCTTCACAGTAAGTATTGGAGGCGCTGTGGACCTCATAATTGGCATTTTCGAGGCCTCTTTCGTTGCCCCGCCTGCAGGAACTCAAAGACTATTTTCTGTTACGAGTTCAATTTCTACGCAGTCCTTTTCGCCTGTTTTCTCCCATGACACTTTTTTGCTTTATTCTTTCCTGAAGAATCGCTCGCGAATATGGTTCGTAATTGAACGCCACTAACCACAGCGTACAATGGCGACGTTTATTCTTAGGCAGACGCGCTGTTACAGTAAGCCTTGCTCAGAGATTGACCCCTCGTCGAAATGGAAATTTGCAATGTATACTGTCCGACGCCCCTTTGGGGACAAATCGCAAATGTTTCCAAACGTAGTGAATTATTGTCGCTTGCCTCTAAGAACATATGAGCATGTTTTACAAGCCAGCAGCCAGGACCCGCGCATTAGCATAGTGCAGTTAGGAGGCATGATTTGCAAACACGACTTTGGAGGGCGTCTTTTTTCCGTTTGTGTGACTCACCATTACGAAATAAGTTACTATGATTTTTTTTCTTCGCTTACCGTAGTTTGACTAGGACATGTTTACTTTTTGTGCTCATGAGTTAGCAAAAAGTTTCGTCGACACCTCACCTTGCCATCAGCCTAGATCTTGTGACAAGCTCATACTATCTCTACCTGTAAAGCAGAAGAAAGATAGAGAAAAAACACGTGATCAGGAGCTTTAGTAGAATACCTGTTTGTTGCAACAATTGTAAAGGATGTAATCTCATCTTGCACAATATTCCCACGCTATTTCTTTCATAAGCACTTTCTCAGAAATTAAAGGCAAACAGGGAAGGTTGAGCATCACTGATCAGATGGTTGCGTTTTGACGTGACTGTCTCACTTCATGTACCATAGTATAAGCATCTCGCGATGTACACCATGCTGATGCCCGAGTGAGGTGCCGTGATGTTAGCTGATCTATCAAATAGATGAAAAAATGAAATATGACTGATAAGCGATAAAAAGATCTGTCGAGAACTTCCTAAAAGACCTGAGTCCCTGTGACTTGAAGAGGCCTGAGCGCACCGCGCTCAACGCACCTCACAGGCAGTTCCGTCGTAGAGTAATATATGTGTTCAGTGGACCAAACTAAGCCCACCACGAAATTAGCACTTGTTCACAGCGATAACGTTTGTGACATGCGCTACTGCACGCATAAGCTCCCAAAAGCAGCTTTTCCGGTCGGAACGTCCCCCACCAGAAGGCGGTGTTCCAACGACCAACACCAACCCCGCCCTATTTGATGGCTATGAAGATCATTCCAGACTGTGCTGTTGAGTCACGTGTGATGGGATCGGAGCGCTTAATGATCAAGCGGGCTTTTACTGAGCCTACAGCCTTCCTGAAATTGTATAACTTCATCCGCAAGCGATCTGCTGCCCACGATAAACGGGAGTCCTGGTCGCTTGGGATGGCTCATCCCATATATGCCAAATACGAAATATATGCAATTCAGAATGCTGTAGACTCAGTGGAAGTCCGCTTGATCCTTAAGCGCTCCAATCCCATCACACATGACTCAGCAGCACAGCGAAGACACGAAATTAGCACCTGTTTACAGCGGTAACGTCTGTGGCATGCGCTATTGCACACCCGAGCTCTCAAATGCAGCGTCCCGGTCGGTACGACCCCCACCAGAAGGAGGTGTTCAACGACCAACACCAACCCCGCCTATTTGATCGCTATGGAGGTCTTTCCTGACTGTGCTGTTGAGTCACGTGTGATGGGATTGGAGCGCCTAATGATCAAGCGGACTTCCGCTGAACCTATAGTCTTCCTGAAATTGTATACTTTCATCCGCAAGCGACCTGTTGCCCACCGATAAACGGGATTCCTGATCGCTCGGGATGGCTCATCCGATATATGCCAAATACGCTGTTGCATAAGTTGAGTGGTGGCCTCAGTCCGAAAAATTTTCTGCAAAAGCGAGTTTTCGACCATACAGGAGCCACAATTTCGCTTAGACATAACGTTGAGTGAAGACGCAAATGGATTCTGATATTGGCACTTTTCTTCTTCCTAACAAACAAACAAGCACAGGAATCTTATTGCAGGGCTACTACAGCGAAGTTGGCCTTTGCGGATACTGTCCAAAATAACGCGGCAACATTTGGTCAGACGCAATTTTTTGAATTTTAATGAACACAGCTTCGTTGAAATATAATTTGGAGCGCAGAACGCAGACCCAAACGGATTCGAAACACGGTAAATCTCCTCTCTTTATGAAAGGTACCACATTCGAAGTCCAGGTCAACTGTATAAAAAATCACCTGTCGCAGAGCTTGTGCGAAGGTTTGCTTTAGCGTAACAGTAGTGTCCCTTCGATGTAATGCCCCGCACTCTATTTTTGTTTCTATTTGTGATACAACAAAATTGTGGGACTATTTAACAGCGGCATCAACCACTCCTGAGAAAGCCCATGAGCGAGTACATTGAGCAACAACTACAAATGGACAACATGAAATCATATGAGGCCTCATGGACTCAAGCATTTCTTCAGTAGTCTTTTGAACGTGGTCTGACAATAATGGATGCTTTTTATTGAGTTCCGCACATGTAAAAAAGATTCATGGGTAGGAAAATGGTGCCTGCTATTTGACCTTGCTCTAGCTTCCAACAGTGCCTCCAAAAGTAGCACATGTTCTCAGCAAAAGACGTTCATCAAGCTCAATATCTCCAACGTGCATGACCTCATGCGAGAGCAAAAGATCATTACGCTTCCCTCTGAGCACAAGAGCAGACAACTCAAAGTTCTATTTCTAGTTGCACTGAATTTAATTTGGTCATACAGAAACCTTGGCACAAGTACCACAAGTTTCATAGTAGGCTGGTTCTGATATTCTTCTAATATTTCATTTTTTTAGCTTACAGTAATTGAACCTGGAAGACCATATTCTAAAACTCATCTGAGAAAGTCCAGTAAGCCTGTAGCAGTATTGACGCATTTTCAGTTTCACGCTCATTATTCAAAGAGCACCTTCTATAGTATGACAATATTCTCTATTATGACTACCTCCTAAGTAGGGTTCGCAGATATTGTCGGGCCGGTATGCGATGAGGAATGTAGGGTGCTTTGCAGGAAACTCGCCCTTTTCCATGATTGCCTGCGGGATGGCCTCATTCAGTTGCTAGCGCTGATCGCTGAGAATGACAAATACAATATCGAGTTGACTTAAATAAAGCGCTTTTCTATTACCCATCTTGCCTGATTTTGCTACTTCCTGTGGCATGAAGTAGTTTATGAAAAATAACGAAGTCATACGGGATTTGAAAATAGTATTCTCAGGATGCGGAAAAGTCAACCAAATCTCGACATCAGAGAACAGTGGCGATTGTTAGCGTCTACTATTAGCCGATAACTTTGACTCTCGATAAACCTCGGCGTTGTCCAGATGTAAGGTTGTTTCTTCTTTAACTGCACTCGAGGCTGGGCAACGATCTCTGTTAGGCGGCTGACGTTTCCGTCGGTTCACCTTCTTCGGAGCCTGTGAGGATGGAATCTGATTTAAAAGCACATAGTACGACTCACACACATTGAGGGTGTATGAGAATATCAGTCCCCTCAGCTGTCGATGTGTCGTGGTCCCCCGCCCAAACAAGCCCAGGAATGGAGATCACAGGACCGTGAAACACGCTAATTTCTTCCATGCTCCGCCTCACACCTTTATCGCGCGCAGAATCCCGTCCTTCATAGCATTCCGTTGCAAAGCGCGCGTGTCGCGCGTGCGGCTCTCTTGGCACTTTGCCAAAGTCCTTTAATTCGGCTTTCAAGATACAAGACAACGCAATTTCCTGATGCGGATAACATTGGAACTGCTGCAAAATAAGAACATTAGATGATGTCGAGGGTCAAAACTTGAAAGCAACTGTGCCACTTCTGCGACATCCCTCGGAGGCCTCGTATTTCCACGAAACATGAAAATAAAACGGCATACTCGTTAGTTTGATACAAGCAAAACGCAATTTCCTGATGTGAATAAAATTCTAGGTGTTGCTCATACTTCAAAATCCATGTACAAGGAGATGAAGATGACACAGGTTAGAAATGAAGCACAACGATGTAAATGTAAATAAAACAAAAATGAAAAAAATCAAGGAAAGGCAAATTAGTTGAAATCGCCTGTGAACTTCTAGAATCCGGCGCTAATCCGGCGCCAAAGCCGTAGAAATACTTAGAATAAACGAGTGGGACGCTTGGATTGTTTTTATTCTCATGTTTTCTGGGAATGCGCGGCCTCTGATGGATTCTGCGGATGCAGCCGAGTTGCTCTTGAGT